AATCTTTGTCTTCTTGATATTGAGCCTCAATCCATATTGAAGGGTGCAGTCCTTGACCCTCTGTAGCAAGTGCTTCAGGTCTTCCTCAGTTTCAGCAAGCAGGGTTGTGTCACCTGCATAACGCAGATTGTTGCTAGATCTTCCACCAATCTTGACCCCACATTTGTCCTCATAGAGCTCAGCCTCCCCGATAATCTGTTCTGCATATAGGTTGAAAAGGTATGGAGATAGGATGCATCCCTGGCATACACCCTCCCCAATTTTGAACCATGCAGTATTTCCTTGCTTTGTACTGACGAATGCCTCTTGGTCCAAGTATAGGTTTCGCATTAGCACGATCAAGTGTTTTGGGATTCCCATTCTCTCGGAGTCAGCCACAGTTTGTTATGGTCCACACAGTCAAATGCCTTTGCATAATCAATGAAACACAGATAGACATTCCTCTGGTATCCCCTGCTTTCAGATAAGATCCATCTAACATTAGCTACAATATCCCTTGTACCCTGACCCCTTCTAAACCCAGCCTGGACTTCTGGCAGTTCTTTGCAGATGTGCTATTCCAGTCGTTTTTGGATAATCTTCAGTAGAATCTTGCTTGCATGTGAAATCAATGATACTGTTCTATAGCTTCCACACCCTGTTGAGTCACTCTTCTTTGGAATGGGAACAAATCATCATAAGCATTAAAATTAATATTATTGAACAAAATGTATATGAATAGCTGAATGAAAAATTCATTTGCTTTGTGAATATTCACTCAAGTCACAATAACAAAGAAATACAGTTCCACTGTAAGAAATACATTTCTTAGAAACAATAAGTCCCCAAAGATTTGAACATATATGTCAATTGCTACTTGCTCTTTAATGTTATGCCAATTCCCCTTCACTCTGAAATTACTGAACCAGCCCCTACTTGAAACAAATTCATCATAATCCCCTTCACTTGATGCATGTGCAGCTTTTAGTTCATCAAAACAGCTTTGAACCTTTTCTTGCACTAAAGGAGATCTCTATCACCTGTTCCTACAAATTCAACTTAAAGACACACTTATAAATGGATCTTGTACATAACCCAACACTGCCTCTATACGGTAAATGAGAGGTACCTGACTTTTAGGCATATTCATTTATTTTTTCCAACATGTATTTATAAGGTGTCTATTTTGTGCCAGGCACTGTTCTAAGCATTGGGATTACTGTGGTAGACAAGACAAAGTTGATTCTCATCATCCCCAAGTGGAGAAGTACAGAAAAAAGAAAGTAAATACATTAAAAATTTCTAGTTATAGATAAAAATAACAATGGTTGAATAGAAATAGATGGAATAAGATGATTAGGAAAACCCTTGGTAAGATTATGTATGGCATTAGAACTGAAGTAGAAAAATTATGAGCAGATCACGCTGAGACCCTGGAGACTCAGACCCCAGGAAGAGCAAAGCTAAAGGTCTTGACAAGGAAAGAACTTACCATTTGCAGACAGGAAGGGATAAAATAAGGTTTGCAGATAGGGAACAAGTACAAGAGGAGACTGCAGAGGGCTTACAGAGAAGATCTTGCAGAGCCCTGGGGTCAGACAAGGGGTTTGTATTATGTACTAACTGAAAATTGCACTGGAGTACAGAGAAGCCAAAGCACAGGGAAGAATTCAAGATACTAAAGAGTTGAATAGAAGATTTCAAAAGGCAGCACAGGATGACAAAGCAAAATATTACAATGAAATGTGAAAGGAGTTGGAGTCGGAAAATCAAAAGGGCC